AGGCTGGGGCAGAGTGGCTGGAGGAAACCAACCTGGAGGTGCTGGGCAACAGCGTCTGAACATGAGCCAGCTGTGCCCAGGTGGCCAAAAAGGCCAGTGGCATCCTGGCCTGAATCAGCATTAGTGTGGCCAGCAGGAGCAGGGCAGGGATTGTGCCCCTGTACCCGGCACTGGTGAGGCCACGCCTTGAGTCCTGTGTTCAGCCCCTCAGATCAGGAGGGACATTTTGGTTCTGGAGCATTTTCAGAGAAGAGCAACAAAGCTGGTGAAGGGTTTGGAGCACAAGTCTGATGAGGAGTGGCTGAGGGAGCTAAGGTTGTTTAGCCTGAAGAAAAGGAGGCTCAGGTGGGGCCTTATCACTCTCTGCAATGCCCTGAAAGGAACAAGGTGGGCAGTTGGCCTCTTCTTCCAGGTAACAAATGACAGGATTAAAGCACACAGCCTTAAGCCGTGCCAGGGGAAGTTCAGGCTGAACATCAGGAGGAACTTTTTCACATTTGTTAAGCATTGTAATGGAAATGTAATGGAATTATAATGCCCAGGGAGGTGGTGGAGTCACCATTCCTGGCAGTGTTTAAGGAAAGATCAGAAGTGACAGTGTCGTGTTCTAATTGATGTGGTGGTGTTTGGTCATCAATTGGACTCAATGACCCCAGAGGTCTTTTCCAAGCTAAAAGATTCTGTGATTTTTTGACTCCTAAGGTGAAGAAGATACCAACCCTGAATAAAGTAGTGAAAAAGGAGCATTGATCACATAAGCTAAAAATTATTGCAGTAAACTAACATAGGTTTTTATCTTTTGAACAGTCTTTGTTTGTAAAAGACATTTAGACTTGCCACATGGTGACAATAAGTTTTAGATATTTCTCTCCCTAGCTGCTGGTTGGACACGTAGGGATGTAGAGCCTGGCAAAGTTTTCCATGTGGTTTTCAGTTTTCCTTCTGTCTTTCTCCTCCACCACCAATCCAGAAAATGGTAATTTGAAATAACAAGATTTCAGAAAGATTTTCTCGACATCATATATTTTTCTGGAACAATCACTCTGATTGGAATATTCCCTTACTTTGCAAGTCACCAACAGGAAAACAGCAAAACATCCATTACAAGCATTTATCTAATTACATTGTCCATGAGCCATTCACCATCTGGTTTTCTCTTAAAGACAACTTTTGAGCAATTCCTGTGAAAAGCTCTGTTATGAATAAGCAGTTGCACAAGGAACTTTTTTAGCAAGCAAGATCTCAATAGCCATTTTTGATATCACAGTAGTATCTGTGCAACCTCTAATAGCAGCAAATCAAGATGTGCAAGCACGAAAATTCTCCCAGCTGCAGAAGACTATTCTCTTTCCAGTCTGCCTTGATAGTTCACTGTTGCTTGAGGAACTGCAGCCAAATCAGCACTTTCAGCACTTCAGCAGGTGATTGACCAGCAGCTGAGTCATCCCTGACCAAAACTAGCACATGCAAAACCCAAGGAGGGGTGGGCACTGGACAAGGGAAGCACAAAAAACCTTCCTCCACTAATTCATGCCATCTGGGAATGACAGTCCGTAGGCCTGCAGCTGTGTTTGCAAAACATTATTTACAATTTTTATTATGAAGTCCATAGGGAAGGAGACTTAATTTATTTAACAGTTCATCATCATTGCACAAACCGTTGTTCTGGGTTTAGCTTCAGAAAAAAACAGGAAGCAATACTCATGATTAGTTAGTCAGACCTTTTTTTGCAGGCTTTTGTTGTTAAACAACTATATGGGAAAATTGGAATTGAACCCACTGACCTGCAACTGGAATCTTTTGGTGTTAGAGGTCTCTCTGGTGAGCCACAGAGGATGTGAGCTGTTGCAATCTTGACTCATCACTTTGTGGTAACCCAGGCTTACATGGGAGGTCACTAGCCCTCCCATGTCTGTAAGTGAACAGAAGGGCAGCAATCATAAATGGTTATCTGTAAGCAGATGCTGCTTTGTGCCTGAGGCTCACATGTCCCAGTGCTTGCACAATCACTTTGTTTAAGTGTGAAATTATGTAAGACCATCACCACCCACAGAGGAGCTGTTCCCTTTAAGTTGCTTTGGTAGCAAATGTGAGCAGTCCAGTGAAGGACCCAGCAAGTGTAAAAACTGGTGGAAGCTGAAGATGAGCTGTCCCTAGGCAATGGGACAGGGTAAAGGGAGCAGGGTCTCCTCATTTGACAGTGGTGAGCTGTTAGCTCAGCTCTTCAATTTATCTCACCTTACAATGTTTTGTTTACTAATCATAGGCACCACTTTAAAAAAAATAAAAATGAAAAACCCCAAAAACCCCACAACAAACAAACACAACCTAGTAACAATTAGTTGCTTTCCATGTTCTGAAACAAACAATTAAAACACCAAACTTGGCAACATAAAGGTACACAGTTGGTTATTCATTAATACACAGCACAGAAAAACCAGATTCACAGACTGTGTAATACTTTAGAACACTTGGCTATAGTCAAAGTAAGTCTCAATCACTTTCATCTGAGTTTCCACAGAGCAGGAGCATCTACTGCATTTCCACCCTGACCATGCAGCCTGGATTGAAAACAATTTCTGTCATCAAGGGTAGAGATGAATAAAGTGGACACACTTATCTTCTTGAAGGCAAACGTTAGGTTTACCTCAGGACAAGAAAACTGGACTAGAATTAGGCTCCAGCTTCCCAAAAAAGCTGTTTCTCTAAGGCAACATGAGTAGAGGCAAAATATTTCCATATCTTCTTTTTTTGCACCAACTTCTCCAGATGGGAGGAAGGACTTGAATTTAACATGTGGTGCAACTTCTTGAGGAACTTGGATGGAGATGTAACAGCATGAGGAATGTGATAAAAACAGTTAAAGCTCAGAATTTAAGATGTATCAAGTGGTTTGGCATTTCCATACCACGAGTATAGCCTGAGACATACCTAGAGGGCCAACAGACCTCTAGGCCAACTTCCACTAGAGGGAAGAAACGTTGCTTAAAATGACAGATTTCCATTCTGAAAAAGCTTGTCTGAAACTCATGATGTCTGGGCATGGGCCTATGAATACAAGAGCCCTGTGGGGATGCCACAGGTCTACAACAAATAAGGCACAGGCTGCACTGTGCCCCATCCATGTGCTCCAATAGAACATATAATCACCAGTAACTGAGGCTCCAGACTTGGCCATTTGCTGAGTGGGGAACCTCGATAGTACAGGTGCATATGAATTTCTAAAAGTTATTCAAAAGAGTAATGTGTCTATGGCCTAGGTCTCCATTTTGTCAAAAATCCAGATTTTACATTGGCAATAAAATCCCTCTCCTAGAGGAAATTTTTAAAATATATTTTTATTTTATTTCATACTAAAATAAGTCTGGAAATACCCTCTAATACTATTTTTCCATTCTCTCTGCTTGCTTCAATTATCCTCACAAATGATATTTAGCTTAGTAACATTCAAATATTTTAAACAGGTTTCAAAGACAGGAAAAATTACATTTGTAGATTTGTAGTTTTGAGAGCTAAAATATGATGGCTTCAGAAGAGAGCAAACATGCACATGATTACAGACATGCAGCGAAGACTGATCTATAAATGCTTACTCAGATTTAGGCTGGTTTTCTCTTAGGTTTGGTTTTTTTTTTTTAAAAAAGGGGTTTTTGTTGTGAGGTTCTTTTGGTGTCATTTTAGTGGAATGAGGCCTAGAAGTTTGAACAATTAAATTATTAGTATAGGTACAAAGTACCTGTCTAGAGAATAGGGTTAGAGATGGCCTATTTGGAAACGCCATTAGCTGCCATCACTTGCGTATTTTTTGTTTGTTTCAGCCCAGCTGGTAGAATATGGTCTTTGTGAAGAATTTAGAAGTTCTTTTTGTGCCTGTGGTAAATTGCATCTTAGCTGTCCTCCACAGCAGGGCAGGATTCAAGGCAGATGCATAAGAAGCACTCAGCTACTGCCAAACATCTTTTTTTTTTCCACCAAGAATTAGGGATTTTTAGTACCTGAGGAAGAAAGGTACCAGTAATACGATCTGCATAAACACCACATTTCCTTAAGAAATGTATAGGAGGAAAACTTTGTTTCTATTACCCTTATTTGTAGTACAGGAACTCTTTATTAAGTCCTGCTGTTTCTGGGAAGGTATCATTCTCTCTGTGTCAAACAGAGCTTACTAGACTGTCAGAATGACAATTCCATACCTTATTATGAAGGCAGATCCTTATCATGGCTATTCTCAGAGTAAGGCATCCAAAAGCCCTGTGTTTCACCACCCACAATACAACTTTATTACTGTTACACTTACTACATTATCCAGCATATGCTGACTACTGTTTTGTTAGGTAGGGTCTCTCACGACATTACATGAAATAATCTGCCAAACCAATATTAGATGTCACTATTTCAGCTACTGGAATAGGGGATTGAGGTGGGAAAGGCTATGACCTTCATTTTGTTTCTTTGAATAAGTCATTTTAAGGTCATTTGGATAAATACTGTGGGAGTCAACACTATCTGTGAGCTACCTGACAGGGTACCTGTTAGGCAAAATCCAAAGCACATGATCCCTCATCCAAGATCCACTGTGAAGAAAAGCATATCCCAAATACCACACACATCTTCCAGTAGAGAAAAAGATATAGGGAGGCAACTTCTGACAAAAGAAAAATTTCTTCTTCCTGCAATCATATCTCTTGGGAGAAATCACAATTATAAAACATGGCAAACTTCTGTGGTACTTGGAGATAGAAAATTGCTGAGCAGAGATGTTGAAATCTGTATTGAATATGGACTTTTGAAAGAACTCTTCATATGCCAACACATGCACTATCCACAAAAGGGTTTATGCATGTGAATGTAATACAGTGAACAGTTCCCCTTGTTAGAAACCCCAGAAATTACTGTGAGACTGGAAGCAGGGTCCTAGGATGCCTTCTGGTATTCTGACAATTCCCTACTTCAGCCTCTCTTTGGTGCTTATCACTGATGAAATTAAAAGCAGCAAACAGTCAACCAAACAGCTCAGCTTTATTTGGATTTCATGTCAAGTGATTTTTTTGGGATGGGTTGTGGATGAGGATGTCTGATTGTGAGTAGCATCTCTGCAGCAAGCACCGCTGTGCTCCCAGCAGAACCACCCTCTTCCAGCAGGAAACCTCCCAATGCCACTGTGCCTTCACCTCACAAACACTGCCTAAACCAGAGAGCTTTGTAAGCACCAAATTATACTGCACTAATAAACAAAAATTTCTGGCTAAGTACCTGATTTGGCTCCGTCTAGTTAGATGAAAAGAGATTTATTAAGTCAATTTCCTTACCTAAGATTTGCTGAGTCTGTTCCTACAATGCCACATGTTGAATGCCCTTCTAAAGGCTTGTGCAAGAACATCTGTGAACCTCCTGTGTCAGACACATCTCATCAGCAGTATTAATCCCTTACTTAACAGCAAATGTTTTTTCTCTTAGGTTAGTGCAGAATCTAGCAATGTGAAAGCTGAACTGGAAATAAATCACAAGAAAAAACTTGCCCAAAGAATTGTTTTCTACAAGTAAACAGCAATTCTAGACCCAAGAAATGACATGAACAAAACCAAGTTAATCAATTAACATTTTATGTTAGCAAATTGCTCTGATTTTAGAAACAGTGTCAGCTTCTTGGGGCTTTACAGTAGCAATAACCAGCAAAAAATGACTTCACCAGCGCAATCAAAAATGACCAGCCTGCATTTGCAGACCTGTACAAAAATTGATTAATCTGTACCTGTTTGGGTCAGAGAATGAGATTTCCTTGACTCAAGGAGCAGCCGCCTGCTTGCTAACATCCAGCTTTATAGCAGCTTTTCTGGCAGGCTGATCTGCAGCTGCCAAACTAGAGGAGAAAGAAATACTGACACTTTCTACCAACTCCTGGCTGGCAATTTTCCTACACCACAGAAAACCAAAGCATTTTGTGAACTCTTCTAGTCTCACAGAAATGGCAAAAGAACTGAAGTGTTATTTATCATTATAATTGATTCTCAGGGTTTTGAAAATTAAAAGTTTAAAGGGCAGAAACCTCAAAACTGCTTTTGGTGCAGATGTAGGTAAAGACCTACCAGTGAGCCTTTTCAGTGGGTTTCTGCTCCTCATACATGTATGCTTGCAGCACCTAATTGCAGTGTGATCAATTCTGTGACAAAATAGATGGGCACACTGTAAAGACTATTTACGCTGCCTAGCTGAAGGTGCTAGGAGACATGGTTCCTTCTAGGTTCTATCTGATTCTAGCTGCTTGCCACCTCATAGAGCACAGCAGAGAAAAAAAGTCCAGGAAATTCCTAGCTTCCTAACATAGCTAATGAGAGAGCCAGCTAGGGAAGACTCTAGTTGTTTGCGAACAGAAAAGGACTGTTGGAAACCATCTGGGGCATGAAATCATTAAATGAGTTTTTGATTTTCAGAGAATGGAGCAGGTGGAGGGGTAGAAGGAAGATGTGTCCAGAATTTGGCAGAACCGCCACACTGGACACTTGGTGTACAGACTTTGGGCTGTTTAGGAGCCTGGCTGATAGGACTGCTTTGGAAATAAGTCCAGGAAGGCTAGACATTCTTCAAGAAGGGTCTAGAGCACAAGTTTTATGAGAAGTAGCTAAGGGAACTGGGGTTGTTTAGCCTGGGGGAAAGGAGGCTCAGTGGGGCATCTCATTGCTCTCTGCAACAGCCTGAAAGCAGATTGTAATGAGCTGAGAGTCAGTCTGGACAAGAGGAAAAGGCCTTGTTTGCCAGGGGAGCTTTAGATTGGAGACTAGGAAAATTTTCTTCACCAAAAGGGTGGTCAGCCATTGGAAGAGGCTGCCCAGGGGTGTGGTGGAGTCACCATTCCTGGAGCTATTGGAAAGATGTGTAGATAAGGTGCTCAGGGACAGGGTTTGGTGGTGGACTGGATAATGCCAGGGTAACAGACTCAACTGACAGCGCTGAGTTTAAGCATCACAGCCCTTGTGTGCTCACAGCTTTGAATAGCTAAGCCCTTTTTGAAGCACAGAAAGCCTCTTCTGACTTGTGGGAGCAGCTGTGACTTCAGCATTTGCTTCCTGTATTTTGCTGCTTACTCGGACACCCTACATTGTCCCTTCCAGCCCAGGAACACAAGGGTGGCTGGAGCTCCACAGAAGTGCTCAGAGGTCCAGCTGGGCTGGAGAGCAATGGTCATTCCCTTTTCCCTTTGTTATTTGGCAGCTGGATACATGCCCCAGGGTAGAGGTCAGTATTAGCACTGATACTGGGAATCACTCAGAGGCACCTGCTGGAGGGAGGAAGAAGGGACATAGAATGGCAGCTGTTGAAGGGAATGACGGTAAAGATACTCATTCAAGCAACACCTCGCAGAAAAATAAATTTCCTTCTGTTCACCTACACCCAAGCAGACTTCACAGTCGATCTGGCAAAAATCAAGGCTGACAAAATATTTTCTCCATAAACCCCAGCAGAGCTGAGGTAAGAACAAGCAGTCTGTCAGCACCAAAGTACAAAGTAGAACATGAAGCACCAGAAACTTCTGGGATCAAAGTTTCTGTCATACACAGGCTTTTGATGGCTAAACAACACAACAGCCAACAGGTGTAGAACCCTCAAGGCCTGTTCATTTTCCATCTGAGAGTCAAAGGGGTTTTTCCGACATCTTGAACAGTCACTTTTAACTTAAGAACTGCTTTAGTTTGCCTGTCACATAGATGGATACCAAAACACAGCATTTCTTAAGATTATCAGTAACATCCATTCAAAACCATTCACCTTTAGGAAAAATAGAGCCAGAAAGTACTCAAAAACTGATATTGCAGGATCTGGCAAATTCATAGTGTACCCTCTACCTAAGGATTTGTCCTGTTAGCTTCATCTCACCCTTTTGAAACTTATGGATTGAAGCAAGCACTGTATGACCGATATATTCGAATGCAGCAACTTCATTCAATTCCACTATTGAATAAAAATAGGAGAAAATGTCACCCTCTACTTGTAATATGCAACCACATTGACTGATCACTTCAACAACTGCAACTCTGCATGCAATACCACTCAGGGATCCACCTTTCAGGGAAAAAAAAAATTGAGATCCAAGTGTTACACAGTAACAAAATATTACCAGCAGGCTATTTCCATAAAAACACTGCAAAATCTTTTTTGACAAAGCAATTGTAATCTTTTACCATCAACTAAAAATGTTTAGATTCTTCTAAGTCAAGCTTGAGCTGATGGCCCCTATTTCTGTTAGTGTAAATTTGTCTTGGAGCTGTGAATTGCTTTTAAAAGTGAGGTATTGACTGAATATAGTATCTTGAGCGTAATATTGTCATTACACATCACCTTACTACAATTGTTTTCCACTTTGACAGACATTAGCTCAGTTTTGTTCTATGCAGGATTCTGTTGTGTTCTGCCAGTCTCTTGGTATCAGGAAGTGTTTGCAGTGCATAGCAGTTTATTGAAGTAGAATAGGTAAAGACGTAGCTCAAGGGTAGTAGGACTTTTAAGAGGAAGTCATAATTGAGGATTTTCAGAACCATTCTTCCAAAAAAGGATTTTGAGATAGGAGTCATCAAGGTAAAAACCTAAAGGATAGAGAAAAATTACTTATTCACAATCTGATGGTTTGATTTACTACATATGGTATGATATATGTCATAAAACAATTAAGTTTAAATGATTCACTGCATTTAGTTATATAAATGCAGTACTTCCCTTTTCTTCATATCAAATAGGCTGCAACAAAAAATAAAACATTCTGAAGCAGTCTGCTTGTTTCACTTTCCTACTACTTTGATACTTACAGAACTATTTCTTCCAGTTGCCTCAGATTCTTCCAAGAAAACAAAAGCCTGCAACAGTGTACTGTTTTTCTACAAAATAATTAATCATTTTATGGCTATTTTGGAAGACCATCTTTAAAGATGTAGATACTCTTAACATGAGTTAAAGGCTGTCTCCAAATGCATTAGAGCAGCATAACATTTTGTACTCTAAATTCATCTTATCTGTTCTGCAAAAGTTCCACCAAAAGCTCACCTACGCACATGTTCTTGATCACTTGAGTGCTGAAGTTTTATTACAAGACCATGAAGGAGACTTGAAGCAGCAGCAGATGCAACTACCTGCCTTTAAAAGCTTCAGCTAAATCCTAAGAAAATTTCAGGGCTCTAGAGCTAGAAAACTTGGACTCAATGATCCTTGTGGGTCCCTTCCAAATGAGCATACTCTGCAATTCTGTGAAACTCCTTTGAACATCTTCAAGAGCACAGACTCATCCCAATTGTGGCAGTAGAAAACTGAGCCAGACAAGGCCTTGCACTGTAGATAACAGAAAAAATGAGATGGCAAAAATGTACAGGTGGGAATTGGGATATTCACCTAGACCTGTGAGAAAACCTACAGCTGCTGCTCAGTTCCTAGTTATGATCAAGTAACAGTGAAAAAAAAAATCTATCAAGGACCATATTCTAAGGCTTCTGAGGCTGCACAGAAGTCTCCTATTTCCCAGCAATGATTTAGACTCACGTCCTCCTTTTCTGTTTCAGGACCAATCTTTCCTTTCTATTGGATGAATTCTGCTACCTCTGTGGGAAGACCAAAAAAGCTTCAAAGAGCCAGTAGTGGGTGGAGTGCTTCTGTTTTCAGTCTGTTGTACAACAGCACCATCCAGCTGCCAAACAAAAAAATTATCAAACCTTAATGCCACTATACAGACTTAGTCCTTGTATCACAAGCCAAATGAGTAATTACACATATTAAAAAAAAAATTACACATTAAAAAACAAAACACAACCCTCAGGTCCCTTCCCTGCTTTTTAACTAATTATTGTCCACTGTGTTATGCTTTCTGAGTTTATACACAAGAGTGTGCTTTAGGGAAATTAAGAATTCAGCCCCGATTTTTTTTTGTCCAGTAAGAGTGGCAGGATGTCCAGTGAAGTGTGGAATGTAAGCTCTCAGGTATGAGGAAAAGACTATTATCTTTGGCTCACAACCAAAGATAGTTAATCACACTACAAGAACTAATGGAAAAATCTCAACTCATAAGAGCCTATGACTTAGCTATCACACTCTACCACTCAAGCTTCAGTAGTGAAAGCAAGAACCTCAGCCTCAAGTGAGGGATAAAAATAATAAAATCGCATACTCAAGTAACAGATCACTCTTGAGAGACATTACGACACAAGGAAGAAAACTCCATGCTCTCCCATGATTTTTCATGAACCTGTGTTATTTAACAGTAAGGCATATGCAATGGAAATAAATGGCATTCCCTACAACAGATGACTGATTACCTGAATGAAATCTACTAAAGGTCACTGCCTAAATTGCTCTCCGTTCTACACTAAACTAATTTTTGTTCTAACATCCACAGGGAGCTACCAAGTGCATCCATTGATGATTGGAAGTTTGATGTTAGACTACTGTTCCTGCATTACACACACCTTAGTCCATCCTGTGATCCCATATTCTTGCATTGATACCTGAAGGCAGTAATGCATCTCCTTTTCTGATTTTTTGAAGACCAGTACTAGTTCTTTACAAACACTTAAAGCAACACAGGGTACCTATCAATGGCAAAAGACAGGCCAGTCATCCTTCAAAAGAAAACAACACTAGCAGAAGCTTCTTACATAAATATTGTCAAGAAAAAACCCCAACTTTTAAGTTCAACAGTTAACCTGAGAGAAAGAGCATTTCTACGTGCAAAGGGAAGGTGAAAGGAAGTCCCAGGATAAATGAGATAATTTTAAGGAACTTGAGCTTATGCAAAGAAGAATCGGCATAACCACATCAAGAACGAGATGATGTTTTTCTGGCATATATTTAAAATACACTGTAGATTTTAACAAAAGCCCAAAATTTAAGAGCACAGCAGCAGAAAAACAGCAAGCACTAGAATAGTAGCTAAAGCCATAGGAGCAAAGAACACATCCAAAGATACAGCAGAGGTGGCAAAAGACAAACCTGTGCCAAGTAGGAGAGAAGGTGCCCTCAGACAAGCAAGGCAGCAAAGCCAGAAGAGTCTGAAGAGACACAGTCCTAAGGAAGAGGACAATAGCTCCCCAAAATCTGCAGATGAACAAGAACATCAAAGTGAGGTATGGTTAATGAGGAAGTATTATGGCTAAGTTTAATGAAAGCAAGTTCTCTCACTATGAGAGAGCAGAGAACATGCAAGCTTCAAAAGGAGCTGTACTAGAAAGTCACTGCAAGACTACATCATTAGATCAGAGACAGAACAAAGGTAATGGAAAAAAAACTGCAATGAGAAGAGACCAAAATGTTAAAATTAGTCAAAAAAGAACTGGTGTCAAATAGGAAAAAAAAAAAAAGAGGAAAGACTGGTATGTGGGAAGGTATTAAAAGGTGACAAGGATGTGGCAGAAAAGAACATGCCCTTGAATCTAGAATGAAAATATCTTCAGCTCCACACACAGGGAAACAAAAACAAAACCAAAACCAAAAAACCAGCTAAAGACAACAACAAACAAACAAACAAAACAACTACACAAAGAAGAAAATGTCAAAGTTTCTGCTTTAAACAAGGAGAAAGTAATTTGAAATAAAGAATCTTATGATCTTGATGGAAGAAAGTACATTTTCCTTGCCAGGAACTGACAAGAACTTGTGACATGCCTAAAGGCTGCACAGCTTTGCTTGGAGAATTATATACTCAAAGGCGTTGAGTTACACTCTCATTCCAACAGAGAGGGTAGGATAAATTCATTTCAAAACTCAGATGTAGATGGAGAACAGAAAGGAGGAGCAAAAGCAGATTTTGTGGAGTTACTAGACAGTGGAAAGAAACAAGACAAGCCAGACAGGAGAAACAGAAAGCCATGAAGTCTTTCCAAAACAGTCTAAATAGAGAGACAACACTTTTACACCATCCTTCATGAGGTCAGCCAGAGTTCTGCCAAGTTGATCCCAGTAAGAACTAAAGGATTTCACATGGAACCTGAGCTCATGACGGTAGTTTTTCTGTTTTATCACAGGATACAAGCTTTTAAGCCAGGACACCAGAAGCAAAACACAGTTTCCACTAGACAGCAACCTGTTTACATTTATTAGTTGTTCAATTTAGCTAAAGAATCAACCTTATTTAAGATTAGATACCTGTTTAAACTGAGCTTTGTATTCTGGTATGAGTAAGCATTTCCAAACCCCAGGTTTCAGCTGTCCAGAGTCTTAGATAGATGTACTATAGTTAAACCTGCCATGTCACTCAGAGGATCTGTTTACATGTCTGCAAGTCCCCCCCTGCCTGCCCGCCACCAAAGTATCTATTTACTATCCACAGAAATTACTATTCAGCTCAGACCTGAGCAGTTCAGTTTTATCTTCACCAGTCTCCCTAACCTTCTAACAAGCAAAACTTGCAGATCTGATTAACTGCAAGCTTCTGCTGTCACTGACAAGTACAGCAGCAGACCTAATGATAAGCTTGCTGGATTTAGGATTTTAGTTTAGGAACAGTCTTATTTTAACTGGGGACACAGAATTCAACACAAGTGAAAATAGTGATAAAATCACACATGATAAATCCATACTATTGAGCAGAACAGCTGAGTGCAAGAAATAAGTTGCATGTACCAGCTTCTCAACGGCCTCCAGTTTTAGAACTTAGAACCACACTGCAATGCTCACCAATCCCATCTTTTCTAACAGACTTTCTGCATGTCCCATTAATTTTAGATTTATAATTTCACAGCAAAGTAGTTTCTACTTCCAAAAGTTTCTACAGAAGTTGCACTATTTCCGTATCTTACAATAAAAAGAGGTCAGGTTCCTATGACAGGAAGTATGAGTAACCCAGGAAGTTCTATCCTAGAAAGCTCACACATTTCAAAATTTAAGATCTTATTTTAATCCAAGGTATGGCAACTGTAAAATCCAGTTCATAAAATGGTAACTAGCTGCTGCTAAGTCTTCTTATGTACAGTGACAACAGTCAATGAATTCGGGTTTCTAGTTAGTAGAGCTTCCCCATCGAGTCCAAGATTTTCTTTCTTTCTTCTGCTGGGGGCATCTCAGGTTTCACACCACTTCTCTTCCTTTGCATCATAATTTCATGCTGAAAATAGAACAAAGAGACCATGAGAACACATTTCACAGAACCTCTGCTCCAAAGCTCTAAACAAACAAGGTTCTTTAACAGGAAAATGCTTTATATATCAAGACCTAGGTACTCTAAGCCTGATTAGCTGATAGCTAAACATACTAGTAGTTAGTTCAAGACACCTGATAGCTTACCTTGCTGCTTCAGAATACAGTGCAATCGGTATTCCCATTACTAGTGTGCCAGACTAATGCACCATCATCTGTAAATAGTTTTTTTTTGAATTTGCATAAGTATTTAAAGGCTAAGCTAAAGCCTCTTTACTACAATAATAAAAGGAAAGGAAAAAGCAGAAAACAGTTTAACAGCACATAGTTCCTTATGATACTTCTCTACCACCAAATAAGCTTTATATTAGGTTAAGGTACACACAACCCAAACCAGTGGGAGACCACATAACTTTACCTTTCCTCAGAACTTTTTCACCGCATCTGTTTAAAAGAGAACCTATTACTAGAAATATGTGACTCAAGTTCAGAGGAAAACATCAGGTACTGCAAGAACACTGACTCGCAATATACGAGAGTAAACTCAGAACAACCAAGGTGAAGTACTTTGATGTTCATGTGCTTAAGTCTTCCAGCAATGCATACTGAGACTACCTGGGCTGGTAAGTTACTGTAAAAACATCATTAGCCAAGAGTGAAGGGTTCAGAAAGCAGCATGTCAGAAGTAATACACATAAAGCAAAGCAAGGAGTAAAAGTTAAGAAGTTTACTGTGCTTACCCAGAATTTTCTGCAGTTTTTGTACTTCAAAAAATAATCAGTACACAGATCCTTGTTATAGTTGTTGTCATTCATACATTTTGTAGTGGCATCTGTTTCCTTTAATAGGGGAAAATATACTTCAGAGCTGAGGGAAGTTACTGTGCTCAATGTTTAAACATTTTAACAGGTCCCAGAATATCTAAAAAGATAGGATTGAGCTCCTCAGAAAGAACACTATCAAAGAGAGCAAAGGAACACCTATTACAAAGGATCATCAGTACTTCCAAGCAGTGATTTCATTTGGAGATAACAGAGAATAGTACTCTTCAGACAGTAAGTACAGAGTCCACAGAATAGTTGTTTACAATGATGCTTGGTATAACTCACAAAAGACTTTTAAAAAATAACCAAGCTTGTCTAACCAGGATTTCAGGCTCTGGCTTTAGGGACAGAAAATTTAAGAGACTGCTATCAGATGAATTACTCCTCCTTATGGGGAATTACTTGCTATTTCATGCTTATTATAGTGGATGATTTTCAGCCCTTCCCATCTTCAGACTCTTAAGAAACTTTTAATGCAAAGTGTTCTATCCACAAAACAGCCCTCCAGAAAGTGAATTACTTAACATTGAAATGTACAGACAGAAATCTCAATTTGATCATCTTACCGCTATACATGGATTTATATCATGATCTCTAAGCTTTTTCGCATGCCTGGACATTCTAGACAGATACTCGTACCTTGGTTAGAAAGGGAAAATAAACAGGTTAAGTATCTACTATTAACAGTAACTCAGGATTAAGTCTGAATCTCAGGATGCTATAAAGGCCTTCTAATAAACCAGTCTGGTTATCTTTTTTAACAAACAAACCAAAGAAAACCCCAACTTCTTTTGCAAAGCGTTATTTCAAAAGCAGTAACAGCAAGACAACATTGGCAAGCTTAGCCCATCACCAAGACTGCTCACTCCTGATGAATTCCTGCAGAGAAGGGAGCCACTGCAGCAGCTCTCTCACTGGCCTGTGTATCATGGAGGAAGTGACCATGTGTAGGAGAAACAGCTCCACAGAAGCTGTTCACAGCCAACACACTGTAGACACTTCAATTAATACTGTGTGGGAGGAATGTACAAATGAACTTTTCCAGATTTGTTCCTACTCCTTTGCTGGATCACATCTGCATCTTCACTGAGCTTTCCCAGGTATGACAAGTGCCCAGCTATCTACTGTGTTACTGTATCAAACATTTAACAGAAAAAGAAATGGTTTCACCGCAAGGTGGGACCAGACCCACTTACACTGTGTATGACAGCTTGAATCACATTTTTTACCATTTAGTAGCTTGACGCTGACTCTAGGAACTGTAAGCTTGAGAGACACAGAGTTCAGTGCCAAGAATCTGCACTGATCCAAGATGATGACATCAAGATGAACAACAGACCCTCACTCCCTTTACAGCTTCCTATCCATTGCCTCCGGCACACACATGGCGATACAGGTACATGCTCCAAACAAATACTAAACCTAACAAAAAATAAATTAATGTTGACCAGATGACTGCTTGCATCAATGCAATCAGAAACATAGGACAGAGGGAGAAAATTAAAGTACTGCTAATGAAGGACACAGCTTGATCTTGTTTTTTACTTTTTCAAAAAACATTGATGCTAATTCTTAACTAAGACCTGTTTCTGTGCACATTAGGGAAGGATAAGTGCAAGTCTGCAGTAAAAAGCCCGTTTTGCTTGATACCAGATTTAAAATTAAAAAAAATATCAAACACTGCTCTTCATAGCTCATAGAAGACCATGCATGAGGTTTCTTCTTTGGGTAAGAGTAAACTATCCCCAGCAAACAAGCCTTAGGTTTAACAAGCTGTGTATGTATACTTTCCTGGTGCTTGGAGTACTCTTTGCTTTCCATATGATCATCTTCTGCAAATGGGCCTTTTAATGAACAGCATAGGGGGGGCAGAAATGCTTTCACTTTCCTTTGAGAACTATCCAGTGCTTAAGTTAATTTCACAAGCTAAGCAAATGTTCTTTCTTGGTGGGTGGAAGTGCTTTTTTTGATCAGGCACTTCCAACTCAAATGGAAACACAAGCAGGTATGCTAGCATCATCACAGACTTCAAGAACGGAGGAGGGAAGGGTGAAGTACGAAGCAAAAGCAGCATACCACAATGCCTCACCTAACTCATCACAACAGATACAAGATTTTTGTATGTTTGCATGTGTCTGTGTTATAACTCTGCATTTAATTGATATTATCCCCTAAGCAGACATGCCTCAAGGTGTACAGTGTTAGTCTGACTTCAGACTTACCCTCTGAAAGAATACTTTTGAGTCATAGGACATGCCATCATAATCACACTGTTCTTTATACAAACCGCACTTGACACTTTCAGTTTGATTACACTACCAGAGTCTACAACCTTGCCTAGTCTAAGGAACAATGCACACAATCCATTAAGCACTTACTTAACGAACAAGCAGTTCAGGTCCTAATGAAGATGCACAGCTCAGAGCAGGCAAATGCTTAAACATTCTTAGCACTACCCAAAAGGTCTGATAGCTCCTGCGCGTGTTCCTCTCTCCCCCTCTCCGAAGTACTTCAGACTTGAAACACTATCAGCTGGAAGGGCAGGCGGGTCACGCCGAAATGCTGCTGTGTGACCGAATGAGCAGTTGGGCAGGAAGCGAGCTTCCTCCTCCTCCCAGGTTTTGCACATGTACGGGCTTCCCTTCCTGCTTTCAGATTACAGGTCGGAGCCCAACCACAACCGAAGGCTTGTCTATTCTACAGTTCTTAATTATGCTTTAACACATTAACAGTTGTAAACTGTACCACAGAGAACCAGGGCTGTTGCTGGCACTCTTTAACCCTAGGGCTTTTTCAGTTCATAAACCATCAGGGCACTTTACTACAGGCTCCCGCCCATTGAAAAGCGTTTGGCCTGCTTTAAATGCACACATATAGCTACAAATGCGCTAAATATGCTGCAGTATAGACCAGCTCATTAAAACTTTGAGCCCTGGAGCCAAGGCCGTACTAAAAATCCTGCCGCTTTTTGGGCTGTTACGGCGGCGCAGGCAGGAGGAGGCAGCCGGCGGGCCTTGAAGCTCAGCACCGCGGAGCTGCCGCCTTGCCCGACTCAGCTCCCCGGGAGGGCCGGGGGCCGTCCAGGTGCGGAGGCAAGGCCGGCAGCCCCCGCCCGATCCCTGCCTTCCGCCGGCGGCGGAGCGGCCGGAGGTGCCCGGGGACCCCTTTCCCCACCGCGGGTCGCTCCCCGCGGCCGCTCCCGCCGCGTCCCCTCGGCACCACCTGCCGCCAGGGAGCGGTGCCCGGGCCGCGCCGCCGCCGGGCCCGAGCGGGGCTGCCCCGGCCCGCGGCCGGCGAAGGTCGAGCGAGACTTCCCTCCGCCGGCCGGGAAGGGGAAGCGGCGGGCGGGCACAGCGCGGGTCGCCGCCGGCGGCACTCACCTCCGTCCCCGGCCGTGTCCGCGGGAGCCCGGGGCGGGAGGGGGGCAGCCCGTCTCCAATTCGAAAGACGTCAGCGACTCGGGCAGAGCGCTTAAGTACGGGCGCAGCCTACCCCGCTCACGGCCCCGCGGCTCCCCCCGGCCCCGCGCCGCCGCCGCCCACGCCCCGGCGGCTCTGAGTGGCACTGCCGGGCCGCCAATGGCGGCGGCGCCGCGCCCGCCCCGGCCGTGAGCGGCGCCTCCTTCCACCAACGGGGCGGGCGGCGCGGTCCGCAGGCGCCGGCGGCGGGGCGCGGCCGCGGCCCTGACTGACTGGGGGAGGCGTCCAACCCGCGGTGCGTGTGGGCGGCGGGCGGTGTGGGCGCGGCGTGTGCGGCAGGCTGGGCTGCACCGCAGCGCATACACTACAATGGCTGCTGGAAAGACGGGAAAGCAAACAATTTCCAGGCCCGCCGCGTCCAGCCCGAAATATGGGGAAAAAATTACAGAAAAATCGGAGAACACTGTAAAGGGTGGAAACGGGGCGCAGAGGGGATGCTGAGGCTCCCGCGGTGAGTCTGCTGCGGGTTTGGGGGGCAGGCGCCGGGGTTTAGCAGGGAAATATCAGGGTTATTTAAATTATGAAGGGGGAGGAGGAGAAGGAGGGGGGAGAGGAGAGAGGAGCAGCGAGCAGTGAGGAAAAGTTTGTGTTAACCATCCCTCCCTTCCATCCCTCTCCCCCCATCTCCCGCAGCCCCCCGCCGCCCCGCGTCGGACCCCCCCGGGGGGAAAAGCAGGGGAGGGGAGGCGAGGCGAGCGGTGCCCCCCCCCCACCACCCCCCTTCCCCTCCCTCGGAGGGAGAAAGAGATGATTTTCAGAAAAACCTCTCTCAGGAGTTTCCTCCACTCCTCCCCTCCCTCCCCGCGGCGCTCTGTTGGTTCGCGAGGAGCGGGCGAGGCGGCGGGGCTGCCCGGGGGACGGCAGGAGGGCGCGGGGTGCCCGCCGCCGACCCCCGCGGCGGGCCGGGCCCGGGGCGCGGGGCAGGGGCAGGGGCAGGAGCGGCGCGGCCGCCCCCTCCCCTCCTCGCCTCTCCGGAGCCTGTGCTGTGAATGCAGTGACAGCGGCGAGAGCGGCGAGAGAGGGAGCGGAAGACATTAGAGACCGCGGTGCCGAAAAATGAGGGAAAAAATTAATATAAATTCGCCCACCGCCTCAAACCGGACAAATTTCGCACAGAAATTTCCCCCATGGACCCGGCTACCCGTGGGGTGTCCCCCGGACCTGGCGGCTGCGTCTTTGGGGGGATCCGGAGTGACTTTGGGGCACTCGACCCCCCTTTCCCGTCGTTTTTTGGACAAAAGTTTTTTTTTTCGTAATAAAGAAACGAATTTGCCTGCTCTCCTCCTCCGAGTAGCTCAGGAGCTTTTCCCTTCCCCATCGGTGTGTGTTTAGAGAAAAGTGTGAACCCAAGTAAGTGCTGAGTCGTGTTGCATTGGGGAGGGGGGTTTGCTAACTGAAAGCAGGAGAGATCCGGAGAGAGAGAGAGAGAGAGCAGGGACAGCTTGTTGTCAGTATCATAAACAACCAAAATGGAGGGAGAACTGAGGCATATAACAAAATAAAAATCAGAAAAAAATGCCAAAAAATACCTAAAAATCGGGGCTGCTCCCCCTTTTCTTCCTCAAGGTAACAGAATAAAACCCGTGTCTTCCCGAGACCGTTTTAAGGTTTCAGGGAGCAAGGAGTTAATATTTATTATTTTTTTTCTGTTGATGAATTCTTTGGAAAGGCAAAAGCCTCTTAAAACTCGCCACCGACAATGAGAAAACGTGAAAATCCCTTTCAGGACAGAGAGGTAGGGGGAGATGATGGTGCAGAAAGTGTATAACTTGGGGGTAATGCGGAGTGATCCTAGATAAGATAAATGCTGTATGTGGTGCTTTATAACTTCCTTTTTTAATGCTTTTTTTTGGTGTGTGTGTGTGTTTGGGGGATTTGGGGAGATGGGGGCTCCTTTCTTTTCCTCTGTCTTTTTCTTTCCCCTTTTTTTTTTTTTTTTTTTTTTTTTTCGGACCGGAATGTAATGCTTTTGTAGTGTCACTTTCCTGATCTAATTAGGATGTGTGAGGCAAAGAGTAAACCTTTCCGGTTTATAAAGTGCATTTTCGTTGCCTTTGAATTTCAAGTTTTCTTGGTGGCTCACTCCTCTATTTAAACTGGATTCCTCAGAGTGGTGTGGGGTTGAGCTAATGCTCCATAGGGAGAGCAAAGAGGGCTCTGGGGCAGGGCACCTCTCCTGCGGGTGGTTGCTGATTTCCCTGGCACGTTCAGTTCACCTGTTTGTCTCCTATAAAGAATGCATTCTGCAGTCTCCTCGTTTTATTTATATGAAATAATGATGCCTCATCTCTCCTCACATTGAAGTTAATGCGAAAGTGCTGCTGATGTTGGTTCCACGTGGGATCAGGGACATTGCAGGGCATTTTAAAGAGACAGCTTCTCTTTTCCTAGGGTTATCATCACCTCTGCAGCACCTCTGCCTCTAGCAGAGGGGTGGTTCGTTGTTTTTTTTTTTAATGGAAAGGTATCAAATCGGCCCTAGATTGATAAATTAAGGAAGGATAACAGGGGGAAATGTGCAGAATCGTTGGGATCAAAGCAATTCTTTTGTGTGTAGCAGGTCTTCAGGGGAGTTTTCTTGGTGTGTTAATTAAAATGCCGTGTTTTGGAGAGTGTTTTTTGGAATGTGTGTTGCAGAAATGAAATAGTCTTAGGTTGTTTAATATTAAGATCTAGTGCTGTTCGGCTAGCTGTGAATTCTGTGGGAGGAGATGAATTCCCTATGTGTAGGGCAATTTCACAGACATTTTGTGAAAGTTGTGAAGTGTGTTATTTTTACTTTGAATACTTTCAGTTTTATTTGGAACACTTGAGTTTGTTCAAAAGTTTATTCTATACCTAAATCTCCTAAACCATCCCCAAAGGTTTTGAAAATAGTGAAAAATAACTGTAGGTTTTAATTGGCCAAAGTAGAGGCTCTTTACAAGTACACCTTAGCTGTGTAGTTATAACATCACTTGGAAGAATTGCCTCTGGCTTTATATACGGAAAGAAAAGCCATCCTAACCGTGGTCTAGTGTCATGTATATGTGTGCATGTTTGTATGCGTGCATGCTTTTAGCATGGGTTCTGGCTGGTACTGTTTTTTTCCTTAATTTTTAGCTTGTAAATGTTTAACTGTGATGATGCGAAATGCTTTGCTTGTCCCTATTGTCTCCTATGTATTTTAATTTTATTTTTGAATATCTTATTTAAAAAAATTAGCATCGCCTCTTAACATGGCAATTTGATACCTTTATGAGGAGTTGCAATGTTTCCTTTGCACTTGCTTTGTTTTTGGAGTCTTTGTATTTAGTTCTAGATTGAAAATTTAATACAGGTATGTGGTTCTTGAGAGGGAAGATGGGGTACTGAATGTGGAGGGAGGCTATTGCAGCACATGTGTTCTGTGTATTTGTGGAAGTTGAGTATGAGTTGTGATAGCCCTCTGTGTTGAATAGCATGTGCTTGCAAATGATCTGTACCCTTTCTGCAAGTGTGAGCAAAGAAACTTGTTGCCTAGGATAGCCTTTGTGGTTAAAGATTTGGGAAGAAATCTCGAAGTTTTCCAGTGACTCACAGATGTGAAAATTAAATCGCATTAACTACTCTTAGGGTAGAAAACAGGGTCATTAAGGAAGAAAGATTAATCATTTTGTATAAAGGAATGGTATTGAATGTTTTTCCAAAACTGCCTTTTATGGTTTAGAGATCTTTTTTATAGTTAGTAAGAATTCAGACTTAAAAGTTCCTTTCTGAATATTTCTAAAATTGATCTATTATTTTTATTGACTGAAGTAACATTACCCTGGAATGCATAGAAATTTGATAAATTAATAGCAGTTCACCATATGTTGGTAGTTTTAATGTGCCAGGGTAGATAGACAGATGGTAGTAGATGTGCAGAACTAACTTAAATAAACTAGTTAATGGTATTGAGAACTGTTCAAATGCTGTGTCTGTGACCATCAGTATGAAGTGTTTAACACATCACTACATTTTTACCTAATTTGGAGCTTTTTATTCATTAATATTTAAATGCTGAAAATAGGTATAGACACTGGTAATAACAATGTGAAAGAAGCAAAGCTGTGGAATATCTTTCTTGACTTACAGCTATGTATTACAAAGTAAATTCGGTGCATCCAGCCATAGTAAAAAATTCAGGATTTAGGGTGGAGAAAGAGGAAAGGGTGTTCTCTCAGAATTTGATACTCTTCTAAACTGGAATTAATTTTAAGGTATAATCCAAATGGAGATAATAATAGCAGAAAAAAATGTTGTTTAGGATTATTTTTTTACAAACTTACTTTTTTGTAGAAAACAGAATTCATCTTACAGTGATGAAGTGTTCTTTTTAATAAAAATACAAAGTAACTTTCAAAAGTTTCCTTAGTTCTAAGAGTTAAGATAATATTCTGTATTATGTATTGGTCTGATTCCATACATGATATAGTTTGATTTATTCAAGATTTTTTAAAATTAAAACACCAGAGGAAACAAATACTATGGGCTGTTGTTGATAAAATTATCCTACTTTTTCTAGGTAAACTGGAGAGGTGTAAATGTATTAAATTCTTCTTAGAGACTTACCAACCCCATTCAATAATGTTTAAAAATTAATAACTGCAGTATTCTACAACAGTAAAGGAAATACAGGAATCTAAAGTGACATGCATTCAGCTTTCCTTGAATGCTTAGCTCAGATGTGTCTCATGGTGTGTAATTTTAATTTGTAATTATCCTGAAAAATTAGTTTTCAATGTAGGACTTTAAAGATTTAAATTAAGAAAGCTTTAAAAAGTTTGTGTAATTCCAAAAGGCACTGCGTACAAAGTGCAGCCACTTTTAATGGTTGTCCATCTCTGCAGCTGGTTAGTCAAAATGGTGCCCTAAAGTCTCCTCCTTTAAGGGTATTGCATATGTTTTAAAATTAATGGGTTAAAGAGGGCACTACTCATGTTCTAAATAAACTACTGTTTGTAACTGTTCAAGGTTATTTTGTAAAATAGATGTTTTTACTTCAGAGTCTAAACCATAATTTTTTAAAATTTTCTTTCTGTAACCCC